CTCTTGACAGGTGAGTTAAGCCATCCCTTTCGAATATACATATATATATATATATATATCATATTTGTATATCTTCATCTTTTGATATTGACTAAAATTAAAACATCGCTGACGGAAATTGCAATTTCGTTGCTTCGGGTGATTCATGTGGCGCGGCATTTCAATAAAGTTAAATTTACTTTTATCACTATCTAACGTCATTTCAATAACATTTTTATGTTCGGGCAGCTTAGCCCAAAGATAAAATCAAAAGCCCCGTTACTAACAAATATGACTGCTACAGCTTAGAGAGAGCGTGACTAAGAAATACCCTTCATCTCAGAGTCGACAAAAGTTTACAAGTTTCTCATTCTTATGTCCCAGTTTCCTTTTAATGTGAGCAATTTTTCGTTATAGTTTATTCTTTACAATTATTCTATATTAAGTATTTAACTCTGGTCATTTAAATTTATATACCTAAATATGAGAACAGTGCTATTCCCCTGGCTTATCATTTGTTATTTCGACATTTTATTACAGTCACATCATATAATATATGATATACGAAAAGTCCGAAAGAAATAAGAGAGTTCAGGAAGTTCAGAGAGTTCCCTTTGGACTTATAATGTACAATCTATGCGCATATCTTTTAATATGACAGTGATATACCCTCTTCGGTGCCACTATTTATACAGGGTATACTAGAACGTAGGAAGGTAAACGATTGGTTTGTTTGTCATTTTATTTCGTTGTATTTGATATTTGTGTGGTTGTGTAATAAACGATGAGGTTTCTTCTTCACACTTYCCTGATTAGGCATAAAATAAACCACACACACACACACATTGCTAGCTGGGGATATATGTATTCCTTGTCAAAGTCAAGTATTTGATGTCACCCATCAGTGATTACTATACTAATTGTCCACTTGATAGATGAGCTCAGAACTGATTTGCTCAATTATAATTTTCATTTTTGTTCATTCATTTTCAGCCCTGAACAARGACARTGTGCAGCAGACGTTGAGCGTGATCTACAGCTGGGCCTTCTTTGTGGGCTCGATCTGTGCCATGGACCTGGTGGCCGGCGTCATCTTCGGCGTTGACTTTAGCCGCTTCCATGCGCGGGCGTCCGAGTTCAATGCGAACAGCATCAATTCCGGTTACGTGGATCCCAATGCGCCGCAGCTCGTTGCTGGGGGCGTGGCAGCCATCTCAATGATGCTGATCGCGTTCAAGGGCTTCATCATGTGGCTGATCAATGTGTATTTGCTCAGCTATCT